GGAGGGGACAGTGCTCCACCTCGGGATATCACAGTATCCACTGAACTATTTACTTGCCACCTCCCTTGTCACCCCCTCTCCTATGACACTGTGTCTCTAATGAGCAGGCAATAGAAAGGAGACTGTCTCCCTGACACTGCTGCTGGAGAAGGGGGCCAGCTTTCTGTTCTCCCAACACTGCTCCCCACCTCCGCCCACACAGCTTTTCAGGCAGGGAGCACTCTGGAGGCTCCCTTCCTGTGGGGAACTGCCAAGAGGCAAGGGCCAGGAGGGGTCGGGGCGCCCTCTGTCCTGTGGGGTAGGCAAGAGACAGCAGCGGGAGCCGGAGCACTTCCTGCTCACCAAGCCTCCGTCCCTGACTTCTGCAGACTTGAGGGAGCCCCCCTTGCCCCCCAACACTCCTTGACAGAGCTGCTTACCAGTTGCCAGAGCCTACAATGCAGACTTTCTTGCCGGTCATGGTGCCGCTTCTCTGCCTGAGCCGCCAGCTGGGTGCCACTCTCCCCAGCTCCCCTGCCGGCTGGGAGCATATAACTCCAACACACGTGGGTGCAGCCAAGCCCCACCCTCCAGGGGAGGGGAGGCGGGCACCGAGGGAGACAGAGAGTCTGGCAGGGCCAGGGAAAGGGGGGAAAAGGGGAGAGAGACAGGTGGGGAACAGGAATGGGGCACAGACCAGGCCCGCTTTTCCTGTTAGGTTTGCCAGCTGACAGTGCTGGCAAGCTTCTTCCCTTGGCTCCAGCCCAGGTCCTCACCCCCCTCCCTCCCTGCAATGGGCTCATCTTGAGGTCTGCCAAGAGCAAGCCCAGATAAGGAACAAGTGACCAGTCCCCTGCACTCCCTTTTGTCCCCTAGCCGTGGAATAAACTGTAATCAGTCCCAGCAGCAGATACAGGCATACTTGCTTTTCCAATGTAGGAATTGCCCCAAGTGATCTCCCAGGACCCCCAAAACTGTGCTGCAGGTTTAACCTCTGGCAGTGATGGGTCACGTGTCATAGGTCCCACTCTAGCTCCACTGCAGGGCTGTGTGTGAGTGAGGTGGGTGGGTGTGAGCCCTTTTATGTAAGGTAGGACCCCATAGAAGCGGAGGGGAGGGGCTGCTTTGGGGGCAGCCAGAGGATAAGACCCCACTAGCCTGAGAAACAGAACCCACCAGTGGGCCTCTCCTCACCTGAATGCCTTCCAGAAAGGAGGGTAGGAAGCGTTAAAGTTGGACGCAAAGTGGTCCACAAGTCTTTTGCAGACTCTGGGCTTGAGGACAGAAGGCAGGCAGCCCAAGTGTTCACTATCCTTGAGAGGCACTGAGCTTCCTTCACTTCTCTCTTGGGTTTCCCAGCTACTAACACGCCAGGGGCTCCTTCAGGTTAGCGGCTAGTTTGCAGAAGCCAGAAAGGGAAGCAGGACGTGGGGCAGCTGTGACCTCTGTGGAGCCTTGTGGTCTCAGATGCTGTAACTGAGACTCAGTGGGGTGTGTGCTTTTGGGAGGAGGGAGAATGGAAGACACATTGAGTAGCTCAAGGCTCTACATTACCCACAGCAATGTTTAAGCAGGGAGCTTCGGTCTCTAGGCTGATGTGGAGAGCGGGGCAAAGGCCCCTAACGCTCCAGCTGTCTGTGCACCTTGGCCTGGAAGGCAGACACCACTGTGTGCTCACGTGCTGACCTCCTGGCTTGGCCAACTGCTGAGTGCGTGTTTTCGTCCCCCTGGGCTCTTGCTGGCTGCAAACTGTGGTAAGCACTGGGCCAGAGGGGAGTCTGTGTAACCACTGAATCAGGGTCAGTGCCCCTGAGATCAAGACTGGGGAGAAATGGTTTTCTAAGTTCTAGGGACTGCCCTGGAAAAGCCCACCATACTTTGCTCCCATGGCCAGGGAGTTCCCTTACCGGGACATAAATGAAATCAGTAGCTGATTGTTTCTCTTAGGAACAAAAGTAAGCCTACTACAGAGCCAGCTTCCTGCAGATTACTGTTATTGCACTGGCATTGAGGAAAAGGCACCAGTGCCAGGCTGCCAGCTGGGAGCTCCGATTATGGGTGATGAAGAGAAAGAATGCTTCTGTCCCTGGCACATAGGATGAGAACCCCAAAGAATGGATGTTTATGCATAAAATAACCTCCTGTTTTTGCCTAAATGCTTCCATCTCTCATTTTGTCCCTACCGTCATTTTTAGTAGTATGAAGACAAAGAATTTTGTTAATTTATATAGGAATGAAGTGTGCAGAGATTCAGAATTGGCTTGTCACAGGAACTTATCTGTTACACAAGAGTTCTCTTCCCAAGAGCAAACTGTAGATTATTTGCTTGAAATTAATAATGGTTCATCAGCCATTCATTACACATGTAATTAGCCTGGGTGAAAACAGATGCCATTTCAATGTCCTTGACATCAATTTTCTCCACTCCAAGTTATCACCCACACACACTTCTCTCTGCTTTCCCTACGCACGTCTGATAAACCCCCACATTCCAGACTGGGAACTGTGGTTGTATCCTTGTTGGATTTGATTGCACATAGGCAATACTTGAGTATTCACATCCACGGAGGCAAAGGTTAACTTTTTAGTTACAGTTTTGAAATGTGGTTGTGTTCGTCCGGTGTCCTAAATCCCTTTCTTGGGTAGAACCAAGCTAGATAATGGCACAGAAGAGGAAAGGAAAGAGCTACCCAGTGGGAATCAAGCCTATTATGACGGCAACAAAGGCAGAATTTCCTGCTTCTGCTACTGGGAACCAATCCTGAGAGTGTTAACTCTGCCAGTGAAGGGTGGGCCATCTACAGTACAAGGATGATGGCAGAGCACATCCACGCCAGTCTTAAGAACTAAAATCTTACTCATGGTTGAGAAAGTGGAACCTTAAAGAGTGACAGGCACAGAGAAGACAAATATCTCCAGCCCTGGCCCGTGTGCAGATGGGAGCCCTGAGAACTCTAGAGGCTCAGGTTCATCGAGTGTAAGGGATCACAGGTGCCCAAGGACAGTGCATTTGAGCCAGTGGGTGCCCTGGGGAGTGCAGAAGGGCAAGGGAAAGGATGGCAGTACCACTGTCTTGTCAGAACCTTCCTTAACAGGAACTGAGGACAGGACTCAGATGCAGTGATGAAGCCTGCTGATCTCAGCCAGCATCTGCCCTGCTTGGACCACTGGGGCTGACAGAACAAGCTCTAAAGTAAAACTCTGAGACCCATAGGATAGAAACCTTGTTTTTCACCATATCCCCAGTGCCTAGAACCACACAGAAGTGTTCAATAAACACTTGTCAAATGAACAAACACCATGAGCATGGATAACGGCATTGGAGAACACTCAGGGAAGAGCTCTCCATCAGTATAGAGGAGGACCCATTCTTCAGAAGATTCTTTTATTAAAACTGGGTGACATTGATAAGGGGGCAGTACAAAAAAAATTTTGGTCCATGAAAAAAACATAATAATTCAGTTAATAAAAACAGTTATCTTCAACAGGGACACTAGGAGTGCTGAGCTTCCTTCTCATGGTTCCAGCCCCAGGGACAGAGGTTGTCCAGTGTCACTGTGGGGAGAACCTTTCAGGGAGGGGGGTGATTAATAACTGGAAGGAGAAGATGGGGAGAGAACCCTGCTGTCCCCAGCATGGAACAGGCAGGGATACAGGGCTGGGGGGTGTGCTCGCAGGAGCCTGAGGAGGGGGTGGGGAAGCAGGGGCTTTGTCAGTTCTGCAGGTTTACAGCCCATGCCGAACGGAATTCCCCCTCTGTGCCCAGCTGTCTCCCACCCTGCTGTGTTGAGTCTGCGAGCCTGGGATATGCTAACTCGGAGGTGATACAACCTGGAAGAATTTGAGGCTCTCCTGGAAAGATGCAAAACCATCTCAGATCCAAGGGGCCAAGATCGCACAACAAGGTCCTGCTGCTACCTGAGGGGTCTGAAGCTTTGAGGGCGGGGGCTGGGGAGTCACAATCCTGTGAGGCAGGGAGAGGGAAGAGTCACAAACTCAAGTCAGCGCTCTCTGCAGCCCCAGGCGCGTTCACTCCTCAGTGCCCCAGCAGTCACCAGCGGGTGTCAACTGGGCAGACAAGGTACAGGAAGACAGGGACGGCCCAGGGCTTTTACCCGTTTGATCGCAGGCCTGTTTCTCCATGAAAGGATGGGGGAGGCAGGGTGGAGTGAGTGAATGAATCACACCTCCACACTACAGCAGAAAGGAACAGCCTCCACTGGCAATGATGGCACCCTAGGTGAGGTCCCTGGGGCTCTGACGGAAAGGCAAGATTCCCCTACCCGAATGCCCTCGGTCAGGACAGACAGGAGGGAATCCTCAACAGCAGCTACAAGGAGTGTGCTGGGAGGGAGCAATACTACGAGAACAAACTCTAATACTGATGTGGACCCCCTGTGAGGGAGGGGAGAAGCACTGAGACAGCAGGCCCATCGGGAGGGCTGCGGACTGACCTGGGGCTCAGTGGAGCCTGAGAGCCAGGGTTCCTTTAGTGCTAGAGGGCAACAAGTGAAGGGAGAGTTTGCTCCAAACCTGTGGAGGGAAGGAAGGAAACTGGATTCTGTTATCAGGAGAGCCAAGATCAACTAGCTTATAGAGTGCCCCCAGGCCTGAGTCGTGGAGAAGGGGCTACCGCTCCCAACTCCCGGGTCTCTGAAGGGCAGGATCAGTGTAGCTGGTCCCCTTGAAGACCACTTGGCCTTAGGCCCAATCCATTCAATGCACTGATTACCACTACAGGTTCTCTCTCTAATACTATCTAGAGGTCCTACGCAGACCAGGGGAGGGGAGAGGCACACGGGAACTTTGTGGGGCAAAGGGAAGCTGGGGATAGGAAGGGGTGGGGTGGGAGAAGAGGCTAGCCGGTGTCACACGAGACCCTCTTCATTCTGGTGTTGTCCTAGAACCGACAGCATCCCCTGGAAAGCCCCAAGCAAGACCAAGGCAGGTGCTCTGAGGCAGGCAGCACAGGGCCCAAGTAAAGAAATCGGTGCAGCCACATCAGGGCTGTGGGAGAAGCCCTATGTATTTCGGATTCCCAGGGCTTGCTCTAATTCTTGTCGTCTCTGTTGCACCTAAAGAGAAAATAGTGGAGGGAGTGGAGGATGAGACAAACCAGAAGTTGTTCTTGATACTACTGACCCCCACCAGGGTGCAGACCCCTTGCCTTTTTGTCAGTTTCTCCTCTGCACCCTAGGTGCCTGCCTACCTTGGAGTAGAAATATCGACACACAGCCTCCTGGGCCCAAGGCTGGAAGTAGAACTCTGCTCGGCGTTCCTCCTCTGGGTTACCCACCACATCAGTCATGGTCTGAGAGAGAATGGAAAGCAGGAGAGAGAGAACAGGGTTGTTTCCTTCCTTGTTATCTGTTGTGGACTGAACACTGTTCCCCAAAAGATACTGAAATCCTAATCCCCCAGTACCTGTGAATGTGACCTTCTTTGGAAATAGGGTCTCTGCAGATGAGCAAGTTAGGATAAGGTCGTTAGGGTGGGCCTAATCCAATGATGGGTATCTTTATAAAAAGGGGAAACTCAGACACAGAGACAAGACAGGTACAGAGGAAAGACAACGTGAACACACACGGCAAACACCATCTGCAAACCAAGGAATACCTGAGGCGACTAAAAGCCAGGAGAGAGGCCTGGAACAGACTCTCCCTCCCCACCCTCGGAAGGAACAAAACCCTGCTGAGACCGCGACTTCAGGCTCTAGCCTCCAGAACTGTGAGACCATCCATTTCCCTTGTTTAAGCCACTGGGGCTGTGGTACTTTACACGGCAGCCCTAGCAAACCACTAAAACAGCACTCGAAGTCAACCACACTGTGGACAAGTCCCCCACACTGTGGACAAGTCCCTGCCTTGTTCAGGGATCCTTCCTGGCACCCCCATCCCTTCCTCCTCTGGTCAGGCTGATTGCAGTCACCACAGGACAGGCGAGAACTGAGCACACGTCTCACATACTCTGCTCATTCCTACCTTCCTGCTTGAGCTTGCAATGCTCCTCTCTCTGGAGCACCTCTCAGAGAGCACCCCCCTCTCTCTCAAATTTCAAATTCTCCAGAAAGCCTTTCCAAGCTATCCTAGCCTCACCAATCTCCCTTCTCCTTTGTTTTATCTTATTGGTCCTGGTGAAATTCTGATAATGTCGTACATGATTTACTACTTTTAAAATTCCATTAGCCTGGTTTCTCAAACAGAATATATGCTACTTTGAAAGAAGAGATGGAGTTTTCCACTCTGTATCCCCTACAACATGGTGCACAGTGACATCACACAGTAAATACTAGATGAACACTTGACAGTTCCATCTCCATTTCCCTACTAGAACACGCTAAAGAAAGTCTGGCCTCTTACTTCTCCCTGGCTCTCCACCACATGCTACAGACATAGAGCAAACACGTGCCTCATGGACCCAAGTCTCTTTGCACCTGTCCCAGGTTCTCTACCTTGAGGTCCCGGCACTGGGACTGAAGCCAGTCATTGATGAAACCCTGAGGGTCTCTGGCAAAGCTCAGCATGAACTCCCGCTGGGTCTTCAGCTGATTGATAGTTTCTATTGTCTCGTGGATCTGAAAGGAAGAAGGAAAGGAAGCTCATGACATTTCCACGTTGGGGAAATGCAAAGTTTAGTGGCAGGCAGTGTATGACTTCTCTTTGTGCCAGTCCCAACCAAGGAACAGAATGCAGCCCCCAAATGGCCCTGCTGCCCAGGGCCCGACCTGCTCTGGTGCTTGGCGCTGTGTCTCTGTCCACCGCCCGTGAGTAAAGTTTTCCTCACAGTCTGCACCATGTCCACTGTGGATGAGGCTACATGGGAAATTTTTAATCCACAGCACAAATGGGTCTGGAAACTCTCAGGTAGAAAAGGAGTGGTACACAGGGCTGTCTCTGTAGCTGTGGTCCATGGGTTTTGTTGGCTGATGCTCCATGCTCTTCCTGGCAATTTCATCTACTTGTATGTTTTCCAGCACCACTGACAGGGTAACGAGTCCCCAGGATGCAGATCACAGTCCATTTTCTAAACTCCTACCAATGGATCTGCTTGACACCTCAAGGCACCTTAAACTCCCCAAAACAAAATCACTACCTTCTCCCAAGACTTGCTTCTCCTGCTCCCAATCTGAATGACTACAACTGCACACTCCAGCTGAAAACCTGGAGGTCTTCATAATACCTCTTCTCCCTCACACCTCACCCCACCATCTGCATCTAGTGTCCAGATCCCTACAATTCCACCTCAACACCTTCCAAACCTACCTACTCACGTCTGTCCTCACGATCAGTATCGTAAGGTTAGGCCTTTAACATATGCCATGTGCATTACTGCACCATCCCCCACCTGGGCTTCCTTCCCCCAGATCTGCCCCTCTTACAGTTTACCTCCAACCGTCCTGCCAGTGAGCGTTCTGAATACAAACAGCACCAGGCCTTCCCATTCTCAGGACAAAGTATAAACCAGTTTACCCTGCCTCAAAGTGGTTTCAGGACTAGGTTCCTGCTTCCCTCTCCAGTTTCTTCTCCCCAGCACCCCGAGCTTTATCTAACATAGTGAAGAGCTTGTATTTCTTCAACATGCCAGGTTCTCTGCTCATCTTTGGGCCTTCATATACCCTGCTCCCTCTTTCTGGAATGTCCTCTGCCCCCACGCCCTTAAGTACCATCATCCTTTCTCCCCTTTTGTTGACTCCCATCAGTTCATTTCAATTGCTAAGTCATGTCTGACTCTTTGCGACCCCATGGGCTACAGCACACCAGGCCTTCCTGTCCATCAGCAACTCCAGAAGCTTGCTCAAATTCGTGTCCATTGAGTCGGTGATGCCATCCAACCATCTCTTCCTCTGTCATCCCCTTCTCCTGCCTTCAATCTTCCCCTGCATCAGGGTCTTTTCCAATGAGTCAGTTCTTTGTATCAGGTGGCCAAAGTATTGGGAGTTTCAGCTTCAGCATCAGTCCTTCCAATGAACATTCAGGACTGATTTCCTTTAGGATTAACTGGTTTGATCTCCTTGCAGTCCAAGGGACTCCCAAGAGTCTTCACCAATGCTACAGTTCAAAAGCATCCATTCTTCTGTGCTCAGCTTTCTTTATAGTTCAACTCCCATGTTGACTCCCATGTCCTTCAAGATTAGGTTGGGGCATCACCTCTTCCAAGAAAGCCTTCCTGTTTTCCTTTGTGTTCCCAGAGCCTTTCTGGCTTTACTTGCCTGGACTATGTCTTCACAGACATTGTCTCATTTAATCCTCCTAACAACTTTAGAAAAATAGGCATTATGGTCTCTATTTCACAGACCAGAAACTGAGGCTCAAAACTATTAAGAGGTATAGTTAAGAATCAGAACTTATGTGTGTCTGGCTCCAACCAGCACCAAACAGAGTGCCTAGCATATACTGGGTGTCAATACGTTTTGAATGAATATCAAAAATCAAAGAAGCCAAGAAGCTGTGATAGAGGGCTAGTGACACCCAACTATCCAGGCCACGGTCCCTACCTTGTTGTCTAGAGTAGCAATCTCCTGCTGGCTGGCAGTAGACAGCAGAAAAGAATTCATCTGGGTCTTCAAGGTATCATCCACTTCCACATCAATGTCATAACAAGCTGTCTTTTTCTGATCATTCGGGTCAACACTGAGGAGGAAATCAAGGGGGCCTGGTAAAGGGCTTGTTCCCTAAGACCTAATCACACAAGTCTTAGACTGAAGGTCAAGGGGTTGACTGCAAAAGGGTACCAGAGACCTTGTTGGTGTGACAGAAATGCTCTGTACTCTTCCTGTGGTGGTAGCTATAGGATGTGCACATTTGCCAAAATCATCAGATTTTAAATGGGTGTAATATATTGCATATAAGCCTCACTAATAATGGTAAAAAGTCAAATAGTACAAAAGATATCCAATGAAAAGCTTCTCCCTCCCCACAAAGAAACCACTGCTACAGTATCTTTTCACTTATTAAACTTAAATTGACTCTGAAAATACATTCAAATAAATATACACCACACACAATAAAATGTGGCCTAAATTTAATCACATGAATATAGGACAAACTAGCTTCTACTGACCCAGTGTATAGGTTGTAGGAATTACTATCGGCTGAGTGATGATGGTTCAGGGTCTAGTGAAAGGAAAGCTTTACTGGAGTTAATATGGAATAAGGGAAAGAGGGCAAGGACTACGTAGAGCCACAAGACATGGTGCTTTGAGGAGAAAGTGCCTTCTTTCACTCGGTATCTGCCTAGACATGCCTTGTTCATCCATCTTCTGAACAGAAAAGCAGATAGAGGTAATGGAGTTGGAGTCTCAGACTGGAATGTCCTACCACCCAGAGAAAAGACAGGAGTTCATCAGTGATGAGCTAGTAAATTCTAACAACTGATTGTCCAAAAGAGAAAAAGAACAACAATAAGAAAAAGCCCTGATTTGGAGCATTTGCTAATTTCTGTGTTTTAAATATTCTCAACATGGTTGATTTCAAGATGCCAACATTATATCACTGATCAAGGAATTGGGAAGGGATGTCCAGTAACACATCATTAGATAGCATTTCCACCACACAGACACAATAGACAGAAGTTAACTTCAAAAACACAAACCCCAGTATGTGTCAGCTGCTCAGTCGTGTCTGACTCTTTGAGACTCCATGGACTGTAACCGGCCCTGCTCCTCTGTCCATGGAATTCTCCAGGCAAGAATACTGGAGTGGGTTGCTATTCTCTTCTCCAGGTGATTTTCCTGACTCAGGGATTGAACCTGGGTCTCCTGCATTGCAGGCAGATTCTTTACCATCTGAACCACCAGGGAAGCCCAAACACCAGTAAACCAATATAATAACTCAGAAATGATGACTTTTTGAGTATATTTACACTTATTTTTTATATAATGTATTTAATTGCAAGTTTATATAATCCTAAATAATGACTGTGTTTAACAACCTGCTTATAAATTTTCTAAAAATTCTGAGAACTGACTTGTGCAGGTGGTACAAGCCAGCTCCAGCACACCACTGCCTCGCATACACATACTTACCTGATGACATGATTAATGATAATGGGTTCAGGGGGCATAAGCAAGGCATGGAGCCGTTGGGGAATCTCTGAAAACTTCATACGTTGAGACTCAAAGATCTATGGGAAAAGAGGAGAAGCAGCTAAGAGTACAACTAGTGCTGCAATGGACTTGAGAAAAGAATGGAAACTTTTCTTACCTGCTGGAGGTACTTGTCACAAATGACAAACTCCCGCTCATGTGGGTCCTGGAGCTTGTGTGTCTTAATATATTGCCACAGTGCTTGAATGATCACCGGACGGGTCTGGGTGTGAATGCCCAGAAGCCGAGCCAGACGAGGGTCTAATTTAAACTGAGGAGGCTGGAGAGAACGAGGATATAGGGATGAAGCCAGTGAGCTGAGTCTATGTGCTATTATGGGGCACTTGGCGTGGCCATACATTCATGCCATTCAACAGGCATTCATGTTGTGCTTTCTCTGGAGCAGAAAAACACTAAGGGGAGCTCAGAAATGACTAAGACCCTACCCCTTAAAGATATTTAGGGAGCTAACAGTCTGATGGCAAATTACCTGCAACTAGACTTAAACTGCCTTTACATGTCAGATTGCTGATGGGTGGGGCTAAAGGCTGGGCTTCCGCATGGCAGCACAGCGTACCTGGTAATCCAGCATCAGCAGGACAGTACATCGTACATTCACATCTCCCGGCCGCTTCACCTGGAAGCCGTCCGTCTCCTGGGTAGTGGCGGTCCTGTGCCACTACAGAGAGGAAGATGTCAGGGGGTGCTCTCCCAGAGGAAGAGCTGGGGTGGGAGGGAAGAGCTTCTGTAATGACTGAATTTTCAACTTTGATTAATGAGGCTACTGGAGAAGAGCAACAGCATGAGACATTTTAAAAAACTGCATATGACTTTGGGATTCCTGTCTGTAAGTAGACGGACATTTTAATTCTGATTGCTCAGGGTCACATTTAAATTAGCCTGTATTTTCAGTGATTTTATCCACAAAATGGATAATATACACAGGTACAGTAAAATAACATAGCTGTCATCTGCTGAGTACTTACTATGTGCCAGAGTATTCTAGGACATGTACTTGGATTATCACATTGAATCCCCACAACATTCATATTAGAAAGGCATGATTAAACCTATTTTACAGATGAGAAAACTAATGCTTAAAAGAATGAAGCAAGCTGCCCAAGGTCAACAGCCAATAAGTGATGGAGCTGTTATCTGAGCTCTGGTGTGTTGGATTCCACAGTCCACATTCTTAGGCACTATGCTCTACTGCTATAAAGTTAAATATATTTACAAATTTCTATTGATTCTATGACTTACTTCCCTTATTAGATGGTAAAGACCTTCCCATGTTTCTTAGTGGTTGAGGTTAGGGGGCTGCGGCTACACTGGCAAAGAAAGGAGCAGGTTAAGTTCACTTGGAGTGCTGGACTACCTCATTCTGGTTTTGACTGTATCACAAAGAACACTGTTGCTAACATGGTCTTTAGAACACTATGTAATCAGGCATTATAATAAAGAATTTTTGATGATTTGGAATGTGAATCTAAACAAAGCAGGAACCAAAAGCAAGGAGCAGATCTGTAAAAGTGGCCTTGGTAAGGACTAAATCCTATTAATGAACCCCCTTAAACACAGCACTTGTTACGAGGAAAAAAGATGAACGGCGTGTGGATAGCTACATCTCACCATTCCTGGCATGTATAAAAAGCCTCCATTAGACTTTCTCTTGAGAGTGGGGGCAGCAATCAAGATAATTAAATTTAAAAGGTGGGACAAGTCAGACTGTAAGAATTCTTGGGTCCAAACAGCACCAAAACCAAACAGCTAGTGCCACCTGGAGGCCAATGTGCAAACTGCACTGGAGGTACCCAACCCCCTCTCCCTTGACATTAAAGTTTAGCTCCCAAGTCCATCATCCTCTACTGATAAAGTCAAAGTCTAGAGGACAGAACTACTCACTTCTACCAGATGGTTGTCTGGTCCATACAGGTCTTTGTCCAGTTCGATCACCAAGGATTTAAAAAAAGAAGAAAACTTCCTCTTTTGTTTGGTGGCATCATATTTGGACAAAGCTGACTAGAAAAGACAGATGAGACGTCGTGTTAGAAAAGGCCAGAATTCCCCAAAACAAAGTCCCGTAAACAAGGAACCCACAAAAGCAATGGGAAAAAAACTCAAAAATGTCTTCTGAGTGTATCTTAGGAGATGGCAAGGTAGGTGTCTATTAAACAAGTTGCGGTAGCAACAGGATCCTGAAGAAGCAGCCTATAACGTGTATAGAGTCACTGCCTTGCCCACCTCTTTTTCCCAAGGGAAATGATGCAAGTTAAGCCAAACCTTTACACATAATAAAGCGAGTCTGAACAGAAAAAATTCTGACTCTAGATGGGAAATGAATCACAGGTAATAAGCAGCCAGAACAAAAACAGCTTTATTTGGATGACATGACACCACTGGCAGATGGACTGGACCTATATAGAGAAAACGGAGGCTCTGACATTGACCCCTGGTTCTCCTGAAAAATGCTTTCATACTGGCTTGCCTGTGAACAGCTAAAAATAGAGAGCCAGAGAGTATAAGGGAATGGCAGGTGAGCTTCTCCAAGGAGCTTCTGGAGTGGGAAGTTTGGGGGCTATCACATGGCAGCTGATGTTCCCCATGAAGCAACAAAGAGCCTGCCAGAGAAATCGATCCCACATAAACTGCGAGCTGTTTCCAATAGGAGCTGGGAAGACGGAGAGGCCACAGCAGAAATCAAGGACCTCAAGGACTCAGGGAAGAAAGCATGGCCCAAATGTTAAGTGCAAATTCACTTGGTTTAAAAGAAAATAAATAACTGAAAAATCTGCTGATACTGCCAAGTCCAATAGCTAGCAGCATCAGGAGAGAGGTAAACAACAAATCAAATCCCAGGACAATAAGGTTCTCGACGTGATACCACAGGGAGGGCCAAGCTGTGGGAGCCAGACACAAAGATCCATTGTCTGTTAGTGCGGGGAACACAGTGACCCTCTCCCCGCTGTTCCCAACAGGAGCCGTAAGCACCAGTCAGGCTTCCTGCCAACCAGACAATACTGCTTGTTCCCAGAAGCTCCCACCCTAGAGGCCAACCACAGTGGACCTTGAACTCACATCCTCCAGGAGCCGTCCTTCTACCCGAAGTTCCCAGGAAGCCACCGTCCCTTCCCCATCCTCAGCATCTGACTTAGCCGGATTGAAAGTGTTAGAAATGAAAATTCGCAGCTTCCGTTTTTGCTGAGGAAGGCAGAAACAGGATTGACAGTGGAGCTTTAGTGGTTTGATGTTGAAGACAAGGGTCTCCCCAAACCCAATGACTCCTAACAGACTGGCTTACTGTCTACGCAGTCCCTGGGGTGGCTGGATGGAGAGTCCAATGAGAAGAGGAGCACAAGCCACTGGCCTGAGTGCAAATGCATTCACCAGGATGCCAGGTAGACAGTCATGCAAGATGCCAGGTTCCCAAGGTGGCAGAGCAGTTACAGCAAAAACACCAAGAGGGTATATTTCTGGTGCAAGAGCCCCTCCCCCTTTGCTGTTCTGTTCTTACGCTTCTAATGTAGTTCTCAGTTCGTAGGCGGAAGAGATGTAATTTAAATGCCAAGGAAAGCTGTGCTATGCCTTTGCTTTCTCATCCTGAGCCTGCTGAAGCTTCCTGAGTCCTCTCCTTTGGCTCTCTGCCTAGTACTCTCCTGTGTTACCTTGATGGGACGTTTCAAGGCCTCCTGGATATCTAGCCGTTTCCTCATGATAGTCTGGTCCAGTTTCCTTTCAAAAGCCAAGAGATCCATATAGGCCTGGGATTCTGGTACCAGTTCACGAATCTTAGGAACAGAAAGATATCATTGGGATCTAAGGCTGACCATCTCTACTCTCAAACTTACCACATCCTCAAGAAGGCCTATAGCCTGGACTTACCCTTTGAGGTAGAATTTTGTCAGCCATCTTCTTTTTTTTTGCACTGTTTGGAATAAATACTGTTATCAGGTTGGGATGGAACTAGTTAGAACATGAAGACAGGCTGTCAGCACCTCCATTTATAGTAAAGTGAAGGAACTGCAAAGCTTGTCTCAAATCAAAGACACCCCCGCCCCTAACAAACACGAAGCAATTATTTCAAGAATGAGCAGCGTCTGCTGACACAGCACTGCCACTTCTCTGCTCAGGTACTCTCAGCACCTGCGTCCTCACAGGCCTCCTCCCTCCCTCCCTCCATCCTGGGATCATCTTACTTGTGGTTCCGATTTTGGACCGCCTGCTGCTGGACCTGCTGGATCTGCTGAGGCGCAGGTCTCTTGCGGGACTGGTCCATCCCTGACTGGGCCAGGCCAGGTCGGACTGAAGGGTTCCCCCCATAGCCAGGGGGTCCCATGGAAGGTCCCTGAGGTGTCATTCGGCTGCCTGGTAGCATACCTGGTCTCTACAGAGGGGAGAGGACCTAGAGATGTCATGGCTTCCCCTGCAAATCCCACCAAGAAAGGGAAAGTGGGGGAGGCCTGAGTTCTCTGAATGAAACAAGGCAGGGGGGTGGGGTGGAGCACAGTGGTGGGGCGGGAGGAGAGCCCTCTACCTCTCTGACATCCAAGTAATTGGAACTTCCTCTGCTCCAGCCCTGACTCCACAGGAGAATATAGCCCCAAAGCAAAGACAGCCAGACTAAACTCAAATTCTCCCCTATTTTGTATCTGGCACACTGGACATCTCTTGAGTCCCACATTTACTCAGAGAGTACTGTCAGGCACTATCTCCTCAGAAGCCGACCTCAATTTGCCAGCTACACCTGTGTTCCTCTGGGCACTGGAGCTGCCTAGGCCATTTGCACTCAAGGTCTCCCAGGCCCACGTTTGGCCTCACTTCGTCCACCCCGGTTTTACATCCTGACTCCCCAAGAAAACAATGCCTCTAGGAGCGGGTGGGGATGCTAACAGCCTCCCTTCCCTTCCCCGCACCGTCTCCCCCGACCCCAACTCCGAATCCCTCCCAGGCACGTCCCTCCTCCTCCTCCCCCAACCCCTGTCACTCCCAGGCCCCCGCTCGGCCCCGCCCCCCGGCCCGCGCGCCCCTCCTCCTGCCCCACTCACCGGATAGGCCGCTCCAGGCATCGGGGAGCGGTATAGCCCTTGACCCGGCGCCGGGCCCATTCGCACCGGAGGCCCCGGTGTCCCGCCCGGGCCCAGGGCAGTCGCCGCGCCCGCCCCTCCAGAGGCTCCGGCGCCGCCGCTCGGAGCCACGGACTGGAAACCCGCCCGGGCCGCCATCTTTCCCGGAGCCGCTGCTGCAGCTGCACAAAGAACCGGAACCGGAACTCCCCCCGCCCCCCCGCGCGCCCCCCGCGCGCCCTCCTGTCCGCCCTGCCGGCCCGCCGGCACGGGAGGCTCAGGGCAGCGAGACTGTGGGCTAGAGGGGGGAGACTAGCGGAAAAGGCGTGTGACCACTCCCTCCAGCCTTCACGGTCCAGGAGGGAAAACCATTGAGAAGAGCTCTGGGATAGAGAGGCCATGCGAAAGGGCGCCCCCAGGCCGACGGAGGGAGACAAGGACTTGGAAAGGGGGACCACTGCACCATCCCTACGCGAGGGTGATGGAGTAAATGCTTCATCTTGGCGCAGTGCGTTTAACTTTTCCAAAGCTCTTGTTTTTCCTTTCCTTCTCTTCCGGCTCTAAGCCCAGCACACTGAAGAGAACGCACTGTTTATTCCACTATAAACAGGCGAGGTGAGCTCAATAAATAACTTGGTGAAGTCAACCAAGTTAGCAGTAAAGTCGAAACCTAGAATCCAGATCTTCCGGTTCATAGTCCGGGGCTCATTCCATAAAGCGCCTCAATAACTACAGAAACTTCAACCCAACTTTCCCCCTGACCTTTAACCTAAACTGCTACCAGATTTTAGGTTTATCACGAAGTGTGGCCCTTCCTCCTCGCCAAAGAATCCTTTCTGCTAGGACTTCTTTTGGGGATCTTTGTTGCCTTTGACTTCTTCTTCTTTCCCTGCCCAGTGGTTCAAACCATTCCTGGTTTGATGATGGTTAGCCTGTCCCATCCCAGGAGGACCAGAGTACCCCTGCTTCCGCCTCCTTACTCCTCCCCTGATTGTGTGGCCCCAAGCCAAGCTCAGCTCTAGGCACTTAGTGGGAAGGCCTAAATACTAATCAGATAAGAGATGAACGACACTGAAGAGTTGGTTAAAACCCAGTTTATTAGACCAGAGGCATGCGTCACCTATAGCCCTGCCTGCTGTTCCCATCCACTGCACATCCTTTGGCCTTGCTCCTGCTTCCCTCTGGAGAGGTCTGATCTCTAAGGAACTCCTGGGAACCAAGAGTTGCCAAAGATCCTATGGCCTCTCCAGCTCCAGGCCAATGCACAGATGACCTGCCACAGGTCTTGTTCTGGGGTTGGAGGCCGAGAGGCAGCTGGGCAGAGAAGGCCTGGGAAGGAGCAGGGCTCTGGCCTGGGAGGAGTGCCTGGTGGAAGGGGCATGGCAGGTCCTCTACCTCGCTGGTTTCTCATTAAGGGAGGAAAGGAGGAACAGAATAGCAGAGCTTTCAACGTCCCCTCTAGGCCTGTCTCTTTAGTCCCACTATCAAACAGTACCTCACCAGAAGCTATAAGGGGTGGGCTTGGGTATTAGGTGAGCAAAGAGGCCTGGGCATCCAGAAGGAGGCAAAGACCACTGACTGAGGACCTCAGCCTCTGCGGGTCCACACCCTGCTGCTTCCGCTGCACAGTCATCAGCTCACAGCTCCCTCAATCTCTGCCACCCTTGCCTTAGTGCGCAGAGCAGATCTCCATCCCATGGGTGGGGGCTCTCACTGTAGCAACCCCTTCCCTGGAGAGGCCGCAGTCAGCCAGGCAAAGGACAGTGGGGTGGGTAGAGCAGGGGAGGGAAATTTAAGGCTGCAGGGAAGGCGAAGGAAACTCAGGCTAGGGGGACAGGGTGAGGCCAGAAAGAGGCAGAGCTTGTAATTCACAGCTTCCTTTATGTCGCCACCGAGACAGTGCGAAGGTTACAATGCGCGTGTCGTCTCCTTGTGCTTCTTAGAGGGATGTGTGTACACAGTACAGACACCAGGGGAGAGTCCAACTCTTTATACAGGCGAAGGCATTCAGAGACCAGGGAAGGGGTGGAAACACAGAAGGGGAACTTGTAGAAGGGGTGGAGAGGGTTGTTCTCGGAGACACAAGGGGATGAAATAGAGACAGTCGGGGGAGAGTATATACAGAGATATAGCAATATAGAGTCTGTATCGTATAGAAATAGAAAATGCAGATGAAGTTGTTGAGAGAAGCAAATGTTTCAGAAGAGGACTTGGGAGAATTCCATAAGAAAATTTATGGATGTGGCCCTCTGCAGGGGCCTGGGGGAGAGGGACCAGTGAGGTTAGGCACTAGTGCCCGGCTCCCTGAGCTGGAAACCAACCAGCTGGATCTCTTATGGGATGGCAGAGGAGGGCTGCCTCTTGGAATTTCTCTCCAGCAGCTCTGGGGTGGGGGATGAACTTGCAGGTATCAGGATGTGGCCTACAGCACCAGGGCCACATCGTGTCCCAGCTCCACTTCTTCAGGGGATCCTCCACCCCCACCTTCCAAGAGACTTCACAGGTTACCAGGTGGTGGGGGGAGAACAGACATGACTTGGGTTCCTGCCTGGAGACTTGGGGTTGGGGGGGGTCACTGGGCTCAGAGGGTCTCTTAAGGCTGGGGAAGCCCCCCCCCTAGTAGCCCTCCCCTTCAAGGTACATTCTCTGGTTTGGGGCCAAACTCCAGACCCCGAGGATCCCCTCCGCCCCCCACTGGAAGGGGGCTTTGGTGACTGGTGGCAGCAAAATGTAGGTGGACACTCAGATGACAGACAGCCGGACAGACAGAATTCAGGCTGGGAGCTGTGGGAGGCAGCATGGAGCAGAGAGGGGCAGCCTGAGGTCATTTGCCCCAATCTCTCTTTTTAGTTTCTGTTTTCGATTAGTTTTGTTAAAAAAAAAGAAAAGAAATGGAAAGGGATGGAGGCAGGGAGAGGACTCTGGTTCGAGACTCCTTCCTCACCACATTCAAGAGGAAAGGACTGCCCAGGAGTGGGGGGATGCATTGGGAGAGGGGAGTGAGTCCCCAGGGCAGATGTGGGGGGCAGCTGGGGGCCCCTTTGCTCTCCTAGCCCTCCCCATCTAGGCCTTTGGTACAGTGGCCTTCGGGGCTCAGCAGGTAAAGTCCTCAAAAGTGCCTCGGGCCGGATGGTGAGGTAGGATGTTGGCCGCATACGTCATCCCGGCAGGATGGCCCCGGAGGCTCTCGCACGGGTTCTGGGGAAGGGCACAGGACAGGGACCGGTTATCGGAAGGGCCACAGGTGCCCCCGGGGCGTGGGGGAGGCAAAGGAGAAGAGGTGGCAGGGGGATGGGCCTGGGGTGGTCGGGGAAGGGATGGGGCTGGAGGGCGCGCCTCTCTCGCTCCCTCACGTGTCTTTTGACGTCATCCAGGCTGAGGGCCACGCCCTTGTCCGCGCTGCTCCGTTTGGCCTCCTTCTGGCACTTCCCTCTTCTGCACAGCTTGTGTTTTATGACCTGGGACGGAAGTGGGGCGGCGGGTGGGTGGGCAGTCTGGAACCCCACCCCTCCCATGGCCCCGCCCCAGCACCCCACCCCCACTCACCTCATAGGCGTAGTCAAAGAGTTCCAGCACCGTGAGGATGCTGGCCCCGATGAACAGACCCATTTGGCCTCCAATGTCACCTGCAGCGGGGCCCACAGGGAGGTCAGGGGAGTCAGGACACAGTGGGAGTGGCGGAGTTCACTGGGACAGGAGAAGGGCCCTGGGGCCGGGGAGGAGGCCTTGTGGGCCAGAGGCGAGCAGCCCGCTTCGGGTGGTAGGGTGTCACACCATGCCCGTGTCATGGGAAGGGGACAGGTGCTACCAGCAGCTCACCCAGGAGCCCTGCAATCTCATAGGCCTTCTTCTGCTCGATGGTCTCATAGTTGAGGACTTCAAAGAAAATGTCCAGCACCAGGATGTTCTCCCTGCAGAGGGGGTGGGAGAGGAGACCTCGGTTCAAGTTGCGTTTCTGTCCCCTACTAGCTGGGTGACCTCAGCAAGCTATCCTCACCGAATCTCAGTCTCCGTATCTATAAAACTAGATGCTGATGTGGCTACCTGCCTGCCTTTTAGAGGTGTTGTGAGGATTAAATATGATGGGGTAATTGAAAAGTCGCTCCACACACCGGCAATTGTGAGGCAATCCCAGTTACAGCCATGAGGATGAAGAGAGTGGAGGAATGAGAAAGGGGTGCCCCCTTAACGTGTTCTGACTTGATCTTCCCTCCATGCCCATCTGAGACTCTTCGGTGGCCTTCCCTCTGTTCTCACTTTCCCCTGCCTGCCGACCCCAGCAGGGCCCGTCCCTTAGCCCTCACAGCCAGAACCCTTACCCTATGTACTGCTCAGACTTGTTGAACTTCTTGGCCAAGTATTTGGCTGATGCTTTGCTGGGGATCTTGACCATGGACAGCTCCTTGCCATAGCGGGTCAGGTTGCAGGGCATTTCACACACACAGTACTCCTGGTCCTTCTCCACCAGGAAGTCTGTGCCAGCCAGGTGAGAGGTGCCAGTTGAGTGGTGCCCTTCTGCTAGCACCTTCCCAACACCCACAGCCTGGCTCTGCCCAAAGGAAGCCTGAGCCCCCTTCTCTTTTTCTGACTTGTCCTTCATTACAGCCCTGTGCCCAACGGCTCCCCGTGGATATTTCTTAATCCCCATATCTCCTTCTCTCAGGGCCCTCCGGGGTCAATCAGCTGAGGTGCTGATGAAAGCAGGTGAGGGCCACCCCTCCCAGGTGACTCCTGTTCATTTTTCACAAGGCCTCTAGAGATGCTATGCCCAGCCTTGCCAGAGTCAGACACAGGAGGGTGCACGCGAAGCCTGATCCAGGAGTTATTAGAAGCTTCTGAGAGCTTGCTCTGAAACCCCTATGCAGACAGCCGGCAGCACCTCCTTCCCTCCCCTGACTTCCTTGGGCCAGGGGCACTCACCCAGAGCAGGATCTGCACACTCCTTGTACTGCTCTGGAGTGCAGTATGGGGCATCTCCTGGAGAGGAGAAAAGACAGCAGTACAGGATGGAGATGAAAGGGGTCTTGTGACTGATGGTAGCAGAGGCCTAAATGCTGGAAGCTGGAAGAGGGTGGGAGGGTAGGAATAGTCGGTGCCTAGTCTGTACTGGCGGAGAAGGCAATGGCAACCCACTCCAATACTCTTGCCTGGAAAATCCCATGGACGGAGGAGCCTGGTAGGCTGCTGTCTATGGAGTCACACAAAGTCGGACACGACTGAAGTGACTTAGCAGCAGCAGCAGCAGTCTGTACTGGAGGTGACCCACCTATAGTCCATCTCTCCTGGACCCTTCTCACCAACCCCTATGGGTCCAGCCAGGAACTGAGGTCAAAGAGGCAAGAACCATATGGGATAGACTGGTGCTGGAACTGGGGTGAGGAGAAGCCAGTTGGTCTTGTTTGCCTGTTGGCAGGAGGCTGACGTGCACGGGGAGCTGGTGCAGGGTGCTGTGGGCTGGGGGGCCTGGGACTGAATTTGGAAGTCTGGGGCCTGACCTGGCATGTGCACCATGCGGCAGTTACAGTTCTCCACCAGGTAGCGTGTCTCACAGTCGATGCGGCAGGCCGTAATGCTGTAGGAGTCGAAGAAATCCAAGTCCATGGTAACAGCTTTGCAGGTGCCCCAGGGCGGGGGCAGGTAGATGAGCTGCTGGGAGAGCCGGGGAGCTGGGGGGTGTGGGGACTTCTCCCCGAGTCACCTTGATGGACTCCTCTGACACGATGCAGAACTCAGGAGTCCTGCCCCCTCTCCCTCTGCAGCCTCTGAGGGTCTCAGAGTTTATGGAGCATCCCATTCATTAGACCATTCATGCTCCTGACTAGTCAGATGGCTACCCAGGCTCTAACTCACCTGTCCTTCCCATTGTTGATTGCCCACCACTCCACCTCTATCTTGAGCCCCCAGGCCCCACCCTTGGGATTAGCTTCCTGTGGCCCTCTCACCCGCTGCTCTTGGCAGGCCACAAAGGTCTGGAACCCTGGGGCTACGCCAAAGCCCAGCTGGTCGATGAAGGGAGGTTCATCCTGACTGTGGATCTGCACTTTGATGCCTGCTTCGAAGGACGTCTCATCTATGGGAATGAGAGGGGTGTGTGTTGGGAGGGCTTCTTCTTCCTCCCTAACCTTCTGCAGAGCTGGGGGCCTCCTCCCTCTCTTGAGACGACCATGATGAGACTAGGGGAAGATAGTCAGTCCAAGGAGCCCTGGCCCTTCCCCAGTCTCCTTCTGGATTCACCAGCCCCATTCTGCCCTGGTGACCCCTGCATCCTACACACTTCTTCTCTTAGTTGGCTTCCGTTATGTATCTCATTGTTTCAGATTATTTCTCACTGTCTCAGAGGTTCTCCATTGCTCCCCCTCCTTTTCTCCCTTCTCCCCCATATCTCTCTGTCCCAAGGCCCCTGAGACCAGACAGACGGCAGGCAGCCCAAGAAGAGACAGAGTTATTTATAGAGTGAGTGGCGGCCACGGGTGGAAAGCGATGGCTGGTTACCTTGGAGAGTAACTGAGCCAGGAAAGGGGAGCCAGGGAAATGTGAGTGTGGCCGTCAGGTAGAGTGGGAGCTGGAGATGCTGGGAGGAAGGGAAGAGAGCCCACGCCCTGCCTCAGAGCCCCTGCCAGAGGCTGAGGCCTGGAGCCACAGGGAGGGGGCTCCCCCGAGAGAGGCGACATACCGGTTTCCCCCCACACGGGCAGGTACTCGTCCTGCTGAATGTCCAGCATGATCTCCAGCCCATTGCCCGTCCCACCCTTCATGGTCTTCAGCCGCGGGCGCCCATCTCGGCCAGAGTTGAACGTGTAGCACTTTCCATACCGCGTGAAGACCTGGCCGGGGCAGAGTGGAGAGCCTGAGAGTCCTGCCAATACCCTCTGCCCACCAGGGACTGTCTCCGGACCCTCCAGCTGGTGGAGTCTCAGCCCTTCAGGAATGACCCCTCCTGAGCAGCCCATTCCCCATCTGTCCTCCTTCCCACCCCCTCCATCCTTCTCTGGCTGCCTGTGTGCCCTGGAAGGCCGATCCCCACAGGGTGCACTGCCTGTGAACCTATGCATGCAGACTGGCTTCAGGTTGGGTTCTACCGATGAGAGGTATCAGTGAGGGATCAGAGGATGGGAGGAGGGAGCTGCTGCGTGACGCATGCTCAGTCGTGTCTGATTCTTTGCCACCCCATGGACTGTAGTCTACCAGGACAGGAGGGGAAGACCAGGCCATTTATCTGTGAGGGTTGTGAAGGTGGCTTAGACCCTTCCAGACTACAAATCCTGCTGGGGGTGGGGGGTGGGGGCTCCCTGCCTAGCGCTGTTGCCTCTTTGTGTTCCTTTAGCTTGACTCTGATAATTTCCCACTATTTCTGGTGCCTCAGGCCCCCTCATTGTTTTTCTTTACTCTCCTGCAGCTCTGTAAACAGTCCCTTTGTTAGTCTTTTCAACTAAACCGTCCAAGGGGTGACCCTTTTCCTGCAGGGCCCCTGCATGTATAGCTCCATCATTTGACCCCATCCCTGCCACACCTCTGGTCCCTCCTGGGACTTTCTCCCCAGGCCCAGGGCCTTCTGAGACATATCTTCTCTTCTCCTAGATTTCACCCCGGGCATTTGAAGCCCTGCTCTGCCGGAGACGCTAAGCGTGCTCCTTTCCTCTGCCATTAGCCCCTCATGTCCATCACTGTCCCATTATCACCAGAATTATCCAGGACCTGGCATATTTGCTAACGCTGGTGCAGAATGGTGAGGGCTGCAGAAGAGATCTTGGGCCTGGGGGCAGGACCCCCCCCCCCACCACTCCATGCCACAGAGCAGCCCCTACTGCAGCTCTGATTACACAGCCACAGAGAGAAAATCGAACCAGTTCTTTATGGCCCTTTCCCCACAGCCTCCCAGAATGCCCCTAAGTTCCCACATGTGAGGCGAGCGTGCTTTTACTCCTGTGAGATGGTGACAGAGTCCACAAAGCAAGTCACAAGGTGAGTGCAGGCACAGCCCAGAGAAAGAGAGACACAGTGTCAGGCTGGACTGGGGTGGGGAGGGGGTGTGGGTTGCTAGGCAGTAGAGTCTTTGCCCCCTTCCTA